AGCTCAAATTCAATGATTTTACCCAGTCATAGAATACTGTGAATGTTCCAAAGATCAATCAGAGACCCAAATTCTTGATTTGCTGGACATTTTTTAAAGAGAAATTTCATCAGTTATGAGTCGAAATTTTGATCATTACTGACTCTTGACTGTAATAATTCAAATTTTGATTGTTACTGGTTTCTTGATTTGCTGGATTATTTTTCCAAGACCCAAAACAGTCTAAATGTTAATTTTGCTGGACATTTTTCAAAGCGAAAATCCATCAGTTATGAGTCCAAATTTTGATCATAACCGGTTCTTGATTGTCTCTTTTTGGTTTTAGATTAATTTACACTCCCTAGGATATACGGTTTTTAGTATGCCTGATTAAGTCTTTGTGAAAGGCTCAAATTCATAATTTTACAAAAAAAAAAAACTTTCATATCGATTTTCTACAGGTTTTGTAAACTGTCATCTTAAACTGGCCTCTAACTTCTTCAAGAAAGTAAGTAGATACTTTCAAGACAGAAATTCCGAGAGATGCAACTCAGTAAATGAGCAATTTAGAACAGACAATTATGAAAAACCGCTTTGATACTTTCCTGACAGTCTTCAAAGGATTTCTGGATGAAATTTGTATTGTTTCTAGAGGAAATGAGGAAGAGTTGAAAAAGTCTATAGATGTTATTACATGCTAAAATTACTTTTATATTGGAAAGAGAAGAAGCAGAATCAACACAGTTTGCTACTTTCAATATGATTCTGTAAACTGTGATTATGTCTGACTTTAACTTCTCAAAGAAAGTATGAAAGTATACTTCCAAGCAGAGTATGAATCATGAAGTAAATATATATTTATTAGATTCACTTGAAGTACAAGTTCAAGATTTTTAAAATTATAATTTGATTAACTTGAAATTAATTTGAATTTCATCAAGTAATTTACTTCAAGTAAAAACATTGAGTTTCAAGTAAAGTGGCATTACTTGAAGTATATTTTATTACTTGAAGTATTTAATATATTTTAAATAAATTAGGTACTTGAAGTAATTTTGGTATTTCAAATATCTAAAATCTGTTCGAAGCAAGACAATTCTTAGTAATTTTTTTAGTTATTCACAATACAATCCGATCCTAATTCTATTCTGGTATCTTATCCGAGCTTTATGTTATTTATATTATTTATAAAGTAATACTAAGGTACTAAGGTACTAAGGTAAGTACTAAAGTGCTTTGGTGTGCCGATTCGAGTAAAATTTGTTTATCTGAGTCTCAGTTCTCAAAATCAAGCAGGGCATGATTCCAAAATAAATACAGGGTATTTGATTATATTTAGGCCCCTACACTCTTTACTATTTAAGGCTCGGTTAGGAATAATTGCCCAGATCTTTGTTGGATATTTGAGCAAATTGAAATCAATTATACATTATTGGAAAGAGCAATAAATTCTCTATAAATCGGTGCAATATTGAGCTTGATAGGTCAAATAGTTTTTGAGCAATTGAGTTTCAAAGTTGGCTTTTAGAATTCAGAAAAGTACCCTTTTATTTTTTAGTTTTGCTCAATTTTGACTTTACCAATCTATATAGCGGGTCAAAATTAGTGGAAAACAACCTTGACATCATTTCCAAATGGCCATTTTAAGCAGAAACAAAAATAAAATGAAAATCCTCTGGAAAATTTTCAAAATCTTGCCATGGTCATGAGCAATTGCCCATATCTTTGTTTAATTTCATGTAAATTAGAATAAATTATATATTATTGAAAAGAGCAATAAATTCTCTATAAATTCGTGGAAAATTGAGTTCAATAGGTCAAACAGTTTTTGAGTAATTGAGCCTCAAAGTTGATTTTTAGTCCAAATTTTTCCAAAAACTTCAAACTCAATTTGCTCAAAAACTATAAACCCAGGAATATTGTAAATTACAGGTCATTTAGAGCTAAATAAGAGCTACCAATGCAGAAAATTTCAATGCAATTTGACCAACAGTTACCGAGCAATTGAAGTTTGAAGATTTTGAAATTAAAATTCAAAGGGGTACGTACCCCTTATAAAAAACTCGATTTTTAAATTTTTTATTTTTGCTCAATTTTGACTTTACCAATTGATAGAGCGGGTCAAAATTAGTGAAGAATAATTTTGACATGATTTCCAAATGGCTATTTTAACCTGAGAAAAAAATTAAAAAGGAAATCCTATTTTTGGCTCTGGAAAATTTTCAAAATCTTGACATGGTCATGAGCAATTGCCCATATCTTTGTTAAATTTGGAGCAAATTGAAATAAATTATATATTATTGGAAAGAGCAATACATTTTCTATAAATCAGTGCCAAATGGAGCTTAATAGCTCAAATAGTTTTTGAGTAATTGAGCCTCAAAGTTGATTTTTAGTCTAAATTTTGCCAAAAACTTCAAACAAAATTTGCTCAAAAACTATAAACCTAGGAATATTGTAAATTACAGGCAATTTGGAGCTTAATAAGAGCTAACAATGCAGAAAATTTCAATGCAATTTGCTTAACGGTTACCGAGCAATTGAGGTTTGAAGATTTTGGAATTAAAATTTAAAGGGGTACCCCTTATAAAAAACTCGATTTTTCTATTTTTCAGTTTTGCTTAATTTTAATTTTATCAATTGATAGATCGAGTCATAATTAGTGAAAAACAATCCTAATATGATTTCCAAATGGCCATTTCAAGCTGAAAAAAAATTAAAGAGGAAATCCTATGTTTGGCTCTGGAAAATTTTGAAAATCTTGACATGCTCATGAGCAATTAATTGCCCATATCTTTGTTAAATTTTGAGCAAATTAAATAAAATATATATGATTGGAAAAAGCAATAAATTCTCTATAAATCCGTGCAAAATTGAGTTCAATAGCTCAAATAGTTTTTGAGACATTAAGCCTCAAAGTTGACTTTTAGTCCAAATTTTGCCAAAAATTTCAAATTCAATTTGCTCAAAAACTATAAACCTAGGAATATTGTAACTCACAGGCCATTTAGAGTTGAATGACATGAATTCCAAATGGCCATTTTAAACTGAAAAAAAATTAAAAAGTAAATCCTATTTTTGGTTCTAGAAAATTTCCAAAATCTTGACATGGTCATGAGCAATTGCCCATATCCTCATTAAATTTTAAGCAAATTGAAACAAATTATATATTATTGGAAAGAGCATTAAATTCTCTATAAATCCGTGCTAAATTGAGTTTAATAGCTCAAATAGTTTTTGAGTAATTGAGCCTCAAATTTGATTTTTAGTCCAAATTTTGCCAAAAACTTCAAATTCAATTTGCTTAAGAACCATAAGCCTGGGAATATTGTAAATTACAGGGTTTTTAGAGCTTATCAAGAGCTATAAGTAATAAAAATTTCAATGCAATTTGTTCAACGGTTATCGAGCAATTGAGATGTGAATATTTTGAAATCAGAATTCGAAGGGGGTACCCTTATGAAAAACTCGATTCTTTTATTTTTCAGTTATGCTCAATTTTGACTCCCGCAATCGATAGAGTGGGTCAAAATTAGTGAAAAGCAAGCTCTGTGGAAAATTTCCAAAATCTTGACATGGTCATGAGTCATGAGCAATAATTGCCCATATCTTTGTTAAATTTCAAGCAAATTGGAATACATTATATACCATTAGAAAGAGCATTAAATTCTCTATACATAGAAGTATGGACTTAAATATAATCAAATAGCCTGTACCTACTAGTTCAAGATTCGAAAATATTTGTCATATTTTGATATGAAAATTTGCAATAATAAAGGAAATCAAGAAACTTATTTATTATAAATAGGTACTCAGAATACTTCAAGCAAAACACTTGACATAATCAAGTAAAGATTAAAGTATTAGGTATAGAATAGATATTGGAAGTACAAGTACAAGAACATAACGAAAAAAGTAATTCAAGTAAAATACTTACTTAAAGTATACTTATATGTACTTGAAGTAGAATTTCAAGAAATTTACTTCAAATATCGACAGCTTTGTTTCCAAGACAAAAAGACTAGAGATGGAACTCAGAACTTATACATTGGTACTATAATATGTTGAGCATAAATTAAGAGGCTGCCAAATGGTTCAAAGTCTATATGCAAAGTCAAAGATGAAGGATTTACGAACCAAAGAAAAAGAAGAAAATCCGTAATGCAGATATGTAGACGTTTTTGCTAATATAGGGTACCTACCTATAAGGCGAATATTTATAAATTCCCTTCGCGATTTAATATCAAAAAGACCAGCTGGGATAATAATAATCCCTTTTCTCGAGCCCGCGTTTCGTCGAGAGAGAATATAATGATTGGTCCGCCGTCCGTATACATTCCACAGCGTCTTTAACCGGAGCAAAATCCGCCGCCATTTTGAGATTAAATCGAAACCGGACTCTGAGAGACGGTCTTTTTGCCTTTTAATCCCCTCTGGGGTGGGGCGCGCGTACAAATTACTATCCGATGCTCGCAATATAATCTATACAACGATTGCGGTTCTCCATATATTAAAATATTGAAGAAAATTATTTGGAAAATCGAAAGAATCTATAATATTGTATGAAAAATGTATAATGATTTTTGGTTTTTAGGGGTTTTGCTATGTTATAGTAGATAATAGATATTGGAGCTAGGGAAGGTACCTAACTGGACAGACAGTCAACAGAAGTTGACAAAAGTACCTAATAGATAATTTACCTACTAGGTATAAGTCTTCATACAGACTGACTGATGTATGGGTTTCAAATAATTCCTTCTCACAAAAATGTGTAAAATTCTAACCATTTCGATAAAAAGTCGTGTCACCGCGAGATCTCTCAACCAATAAACCACTTAGCTCGCGCCTGGTCACGTCCATTAACGGCATCAGGACCACAAAAAGCCCAATAAGAAAATTTTAAAAGCATTCTTGACGTTTTATAGAGGTGTTGGGGCTAATATCCTCTCACGGTCAATTAAACTCCATTTCAAGATAACATCACATCAACCATCAATAATAAATTATTATTTTAATTCCAGATACATTCATTCAAAAGAAAAACCGTTCAAATGCAACGAGTGCGGCAAAGGGTTTTGCCAGTCAAGGACTTTGGCGGTACACAAGATTTTGCACATGGAAGAGTCTCCGCACAAGTGCCAAGTGTGTTCCAGATCCTTCAATCAACGTTCCAACTTAAAAACTCACTTGTTAACTCACACCGATCACAAACCTTACGAGTGCAACAGTTGCGGCAAGGTTTTCAGAAGAAATTGTGATCTTAGAAGACATGCTTTGACTCATGCAGTTGGAGATGTTCCACCTGAAGGATTGGAAGGTGGTTTGGAAGGCGATAGAGATACTATGTCACCAAGACCAAGGTAATAATTTTGTTTGTTGTATTGTTACGATTCCTTTACATTGATTTTGTAGATCTCCATCGCAAGAATCAAGAGATGATGGTTCAATAAGAGTTTGTTCACCTGCTCCTGAGAGAACCCATTGTCATGAACCAAGATCTTCGGCTTCACCTTATACAATGAGACCTTCAATGGACAAATTGGATTACAGACAGGAAATGGATGATGACGATGATGAAGATGATCCGGAAATTGATCCTGGACAGGAGGATTGTCCTGAAGTACTCAACGAATTGGATCAAGAGGTAAATAACTTCATTCAGATTGTTTTAATTTAAGTATTAACCATGTTTTTCTTTATGGTTGTTTGAAACATTTTTGTTGTTAACCATAACAGAAGATGATTTTTTTTATTCAAAGTTTGGTTTACCTAAGGTAAATGACTTCTAAATTCTTGGATAAAATATCTTCCACTTGTTGAACATCTTTCTCAGTTTTGCCTAGTAGGTATACATAAACCATCTATCATAGACTGCGTAACTATCTGTCTTAATTCCATCTTGTGACAGAAACATATACATGAAACAACTATGGATTGTTTCAGGTTTATTTGTGTCAAAACACTGACCAATTTATGATTCTCATAATCTGGGGAGACCGTTTCAAACTGTATATACTCTACTTCAAATAATAAACTCTCCTTAACTCAACGTCAACAGCTTATGGGATTTTCATGTCAATTTCAACATCCATTGAGAAATGCTGTTTTGATATCCAATTGTTTAGCAATCATTTCATTATGTACACAGTGGGCCTGCAAATCAAGACCCAGTAAGCGTCAAAATTTAAACTTTTCTGGGTCTAAATCCTTGGAAATCTTCTACAGGAACTTCAAGAGCCGAGAATAGATCAAATTTTGATGATTATCGGTACTTGAATCACATTTTTCAAGAGTTGGTGATTCCAAATTTTGATTATTACATCAATATTATTGGTTCTGGAATCAATGGTACTTTTTTAGGAGCAGTGGATGAAATTTGTATTGTTTGTAGAGGAAATGAGGAAGAGTTAAGAAAATCTATAGATGTTATTACATGCTAAAATTACTTTTATATTGGAAAGAGAAGAAGCAAAATCAACACAATATCTCACTTCCAATATGCTTTTCTACGAGTTCTGTAAACTGTCATTAACTTCTCCAAGAAAGTGGAAGTGAAGTGAAGCTGAAAAAAAAAATTAAAAAGGAAATCCTATTTTTTGGTCTGGAAAATTTTCAAAATCTTGACAAGGTCATGAGCAATTGCCCATATATTTTTTATATTTTGAGCAAATTAAAATAAATTATATATTGTTGGAAAGAGCAATAAATTCTCTATAAATCCGTGAAAAATTGAGTTTATTAGCTCAAATAGTTTTTGAGTAATTGAGCCTCAAAGTTGTTTTTTAGTCCAAATTTTGTCAAAAACTTCAAATTCAATTTGCTCAAAAACTATAAATTTAGGAATATTGTAACTCACAGGTCAGTTAGAGCTAAATGAGAGCTACAAATGCAGAAAATTTCAATGCAATTTGCCCAACGGCTACCGAGCAGTTGAGGTTTGAAGATTTTGGAATTAAAATTCAAAGGGGTACATACCCCTTATAAAAAACTCGATTTTTTATTTTTCAGTTTTGCTCAATTTTGACTTTACCAATTGATAGAGCGAGTCAAAATTAGTGAAGAACAATCCTGACATTAATTCCAAATGGCCATTTTAAGCTGAAAAAAGAATTAAAAAGGAAATCCTATTTTTTGGTCTGGAAAATTTTCAAAATCTTGACATGGTCATGAACAATTGCCCATATCTTTTTTATATTTTAAGCAAATTAAAATAAATTATATATTGTTGGAAAGAGCAATAAATTCTCTATAAATCCGTGCAAAATTGAGTTTATTAGCTCAAATAGTTTTTGAGTAATTGAGCCTCAAAGTTGATTCTTAGTCCAAATTTTGTCAAAAATTTCAAATTCAATTTGCTCAGAAACTATAAATTTAGGAATATTGTAACTCACAGGTCAGTTAGAGCTAAATGAGAGCTACAAATGCAGAAAATTTCAATGCAATTTGCCCAACGGCTACCGAGCAGTTGAGGTTTGAAGATTTTGGAATTAAAATTCAAAGGGGTACTATGTACCCCTTATAAAAAACTCGATTTTTTTATGTTTCAGTTTTGCTTAATTTTGACTTTACCAATTAATAAAGCGAGTCAAAATTAGTGGAGAACAATGTTGACATAAATTCCAAATGGCCATTACAAGCTGAAAAAAAATAAATTAAAAAGGAAATCCTATTTTTTGGTCTGGAAAATTTTCAAAATCTTGAGAAGGTCATGAACAATTGCCAATATCTTTATTATATTTCGAGCAAATTAAAATAAATTATATATTGTTGGAAAGAGCAATAAATTCTCTATAAATCCATGAAAAATTGAGTTTATTAGCTCAAATAGTTTTTGAGTAATTGAGCCTCAAAGTTGATTTTTAGTCCAAATTTCAAATTCAATTTGCTCAAAAACTATAAACCTAAGAATATTGTATATTACAGATAATTTAGAGCTAAATAAGAGCCACAAATGCAGAAAATTGATGTTCATTATGTACACAGTAGGCGAGTGGGCCAGCAAATCAAGAACCAGTAAAAATCAAAATTTAATTTTTCTCGTCTCTAAATCCTTGAAAATCTTCTACAGGAACTTCAAGAGTCGAGAATGGATCAAATTTTGATGATTATCGGCTTGAATCACATTTTTCTAGAGGCAATCAAGAGTTGGTGATTCCAAATTTTGATTGTTACATCAATAGTATTGGTTCTGGAATCAATGGGACTTTTCTAAGAGCAGTCAAGATGAAATCTTACTTTAAAGTCCTCATTTTCATTGAGGTAAAAGCGAAGGGGATTTCCATGAGGATATTTGGTTTACATGGCCAAGGGGATAACCGGGAGTAAGTTAAGATTCTAGGAGTAATCCAGGATAACCGGGGGATAACTGGGAAAATGCAAATATACTAAACTTAGAAGATTACATTTGGCAAGATTGGACAGGTATTTGGTGGCTATTAGACAAAGTAAAAGAGGATCATATTTCAGCAGGTAGTTAAGTGATAATTAGATATAACAGCGGATCAATGAATGATGTTCTGGCCAAAGTAGTGATGGTACTGTTTGGTTTCGGTCATTCCATTTATTTCATGCACATCTGGTATTGAATATTCCTCCAGCTTTATTCCAACTGAGAAATGTGGTCTTCTACCTCATTTGTATGCTTTACCAAAACTACCCCTGTATATTGTGGGTATTCACCAATAAACGTTACATAGTATATTACGCGTTTTCCGCAATTGGTTGTGTGCTAAAAGGACCAGCAACATCCGAATGAACCTTTTCCAATATCTTTAACAGGCGTTGCCTTCTTTTCTGGAAATAGTTCTCGTCATCTTGGATTTTATGCGGGCTTCACAGTCTATGATAGATCTCTCTCTAGGTAAAATATGGTGTTTCAGCAACTGACTCCTCAATTTCGTTGAAGTAACTTACTAGTATTGCATACCATTTATTATCGTAGCAAAATTGCTGTACATATTGGAAGTACGAGTATAGACAACCAAAGAACCGAGGGTCCAAGCAGATATTATATTATGATAACCCGGTTCCTATACAGTTTCAAAGTTGTCTCGGATGTTAGTATTCGAATTTCCAATAAGTTTTGGGATATTTATTTAGACATACAGTTTGTCACATGAGAAGGAAAATACAAAGAAGAACTGATTGCAAAAGCTTCAGAACCATACACTTCTGTCCTAATGGGCTTTGAGGTTGTTCAAGCATTAGTAACGTACTAGGAAATAAATTAAAGGGAAAAGCATGAAAAATAAATACCAGAAGCTTCCGAAGAGACTGTAAAAAAAGAAAATGTTCATTGGTTACCCTTGAAGATTCAATTAAACTCCCAGAATAGGACCAGAGGTGGTTTCAGTATTAAGTAGTGAAATACGTTTGCCGAAGGATAAACTGAGAAAGACACAGATTGGAGTGGATGAAATTGAAGAAAAAAGAAAGGAAGAAGAAGGAATTATCAATTCTTTTATATAATTATTTCTAATTGTTCATTACTCTTTGGAAGGCTGCTGGTGCGTTCTTTAAACTAAAGGGCATTCTGTTGACACTACTGGAGAATCATGGTAGAGGGTTCATCGACCAAACATACAGAAAAAGGGCCGCAGCAATGCTACAAATGAGTAGGAACGACTAAGGACTGCATCTTCTATGCTATTCAACAACGATTACGTTCAGATTTTCCTTGTCTTCTGTAGCCATCTCATAGTCCTTATCTTTTTGGGAAATTTGTAATTTGTTAGATGATGTGTACCCATCCTACTACTTTATCATTCTTTGTGAATATAACTTTTGCATTTTTCTCTCATTTTTTGCCATGAACATTTTGAATCTGACACATATACAGAATATCATACAAGGTAACTTCAATATACTTTCTTGATGGCAGTAAAGCATTGAGACTTACTTCTCCAATATCTATGAATAATTACATTCATGACAACATCTTTTCCCAATCGAATTTGACTTGAATATTGTCTCAAATTCTTAAAAACAGCTTTGTCTCCTAGCATGTGGGTAATTGTACCAGTGTCAAAATATCCATTGATTTTGGTTTTTCTAGTGTCCATTGATTCCTGGTAAAGTTTAGTCTGATGTTCCTTTGACGTTGGTTTGTAGATGCTAACCATGAACTTGGTTTCCAATTCGTTGACGCTCTTAGCAGCACTTGAAAGTGATATAAAGGATTCTCTTTGAGCTTGAAGTGACCTTGTCTAAGGTCATTATTCTTTGTGTCAAAGCTCTTACTGAAGATATTTTTATGGTGTTGATTACTTTTTTCATTGGTGATGTTTATCAGTTTTTCAGGTAGGTAGGTATGTAAAGTTTATTCATTGCCTCCAGATCAACATCCACACTGGCAGTTTCCAATTTTTCTCTCGACATAAGGTTTAACCTTGTAACCGGTGCTTAAAAGGGGTTATGCCTCAATAGTTTTTGCAATCCAATGGGTTTTCTCTTCTTTTTTATGAAGTGGACAAAATACTCCAGTGTTCCATTCATCCGGCAACTCTTCTTGGTTCCAGACCATGCTCATAATCTGATTAATCTTATTTGTGAATTCCTCCCGTGCGTGTATAAATAGTTCTGAGGTTAGGCCGACACTTATCACTTCCTGAGAATATTTCAACTTTTTAATGGCGTTCTTTGGTCCAGTCATCAGAGTTATGATCTTGGGGTGCGGTATTTCTTATGGGTTGTTCTTGCTGACTTTCCTTCTGAGTTTCATTGCCATTTGGTAATTCTTCGAAGTGAGATTTTAGCTGTATTGCCGATATTGCAGAGAGTTGTTCTTGGCTCAACTTTGTTGGTTTACAGTTTACAGATTTATAGAATTTGCGGTTTCCCTTTTGATCTCTCAATTATTGTAATAATTCCTCTAGCCTTTTATTTTCAAATGTTTTCTTGTTGCCTGCTGTAACATATGCTGGTAGGCCACAATCTTCTGTGCTGTAATGGCTTCAGACTCTGATCCTTTGTACTGTGTTCTTTCTGGGTCACACCTAGAGTTTCACTGGGTGCTGTTTTCAGTGCATCCTTGTTTGCTTCCCAGTTTTCAAGTTGCTCTCTACGTTTGCCAGTTTGTCTGTGACGATTCTCTAAATCTTTTTTAGAAACTTTAAAGTATTTTATGGATCTCGTATCCATTTTTATTTTATTTTAGATATTCGTATGCGAATCTACAAGGTAATGATCAGAGTAGATGTTTGCGCCTCCTGTAACGTCTAACATCTAGCAGATTTGGTAGGTGTCTACATCAATTAGAAAGTGATCTATCTGGTTGTAAGAACAGGCGAAACTCATGTTGCTTTGTATATATTTTTGGTTGCTAAATTAATAACCCTATTGCTGTTGCCGTTAATGGACTCATACAGGCTATGTTTCCCTATTTGCTGCTGGAATACTCTTGCCCTTCCTATTTTGGAATTCAGGTCTTCCAGTATTATTTTAATGTTATCCCAAGGGCATGTGTTATATGCATTCTCAAGTTGGTCATAGAATGATCAGATTTGTCCTCTGTTGGTGAGTGGACATTTATAAGACTTAAAATTGGAGAATTTAACGTTCCTTCTGCGCACTGTGCCTATTTCAGTCCATCGATTCTCTTGGATGGTTTGTTATATCACGTTTATGTTCTTCCAACGGTACTCCAAGTGCCTTTAGTGCCTTTAGGAAAATTTCAAAATTTTCCAGTAGTAATATAACTAGTGCATAAAATATTTCCGGAAATTTTGTCTGAAGCCAATTTTTTTAACAAAATCATGAGTGCATAGCGCCTGAAAAAATCCCGAACCCGAAGGGTGAGGGATTTTTTCTTTGGCGCTATGCACGAATGGTTTTGTTGAAAAAAAAATTGACTAAAGACGAAATTTTCAAAAATTTCCCTTAGGAAATATTTTATGCACGTGTTATATTTTGATAGGAAATTTCCCGAGTTTGAAGTTTATCTACTATAAGATGTGTCGAATATTTTAATTATGGTGATGTGTTCTGTGATGGTGATTGTTATTGATCTTTCCTATTTAAATTGCGTTTGTCAAAAAATATACACTTTGACAGATTTCTGACATTAATGCATTTTAAATGGAAAAGCTGGGTCTCAATGCCAAAAATGACAACCTAAAGGTGGGTTTCCGACAAACGCCGCGCGGCATCGTCGCATTGGAAATTGCACCCGGAAATATCCCGCTCACCAGGGATATTTCCACTTATCAATTTTTGAAAATTACGAGGTAAATTTCCAGTTGAATATGCACAAGGGAAATTTCCAGTGAAAAATCTCTCCAGGAAAAATTCTGACAAATTGACTTTTTCAAGTAAAATTAAGCAGAATTCACCTTTTACATTTTAATTTTTCTCTAGAAATCTGGCAAAGGGAACATTGTGAAATTTTTCCAGAAGAAAGAGAAAAGTGGGGAGCTTATTATAGGGAAATTTCGAAATTTTCCAGTGGAAAATCACTCTAGGAAAAATTCTGGGAAATTTACTTTTTTAGGCAAAACTCACCCTCTTACATTTTAATTTTTTTCTGGGAAACTGGCAAAAGGAAAATTGTGAAAATTTTTCAGAAAAAAGAGGAAAGTAAAGAGCTCATTATAGTAAAAGTTTAAAATTTTCCAATGAAAAATCACTCCATAAAAAATTCTGGAAAGTTGACTTATTTAAGCAAAATTAAGGAAAATTCACCTCTTACATTTTAATTTTTTCTGGAAAACTGGCAGACAGAAAATTTTGAAAATTTTCGAAGAAAAAGAGGGAAGTGAGGAGTTCATTATAGGAAAATTTCGAAATTTTCCAGTGAGAAATCACTCCAGGGAAAATTCTGGCAAATTGACTTTTTCAAGTAAAATTAAGGAAAATTCATCCTCTCATATTTCAATTTTTTTCTGGAAAACTGGCAAAAGAGGAAAAAAAGGAAAGTCAGGAGCTCATTAAAAGAAAATTTCAAAATTTTCCAATGGAAAATCGCTCCCGGAAAAATTCTGAAAAAAATGACTTTTTCAACTAAAATTAAGAAAAACTCATCCTCTCACATTTCAATTTATTTCTGGAAAACTAATAAAGCAAGACTAGTGAAATTTTTCCAGGAGAAAGAAGAAAATAAGGAGCTCATTATAGGAAAATTTCAGAATTTTCTGGTGAAAAATCACTCCAAGGAAAGTCGAGAGGAAAGTTCTGGAAAATTGACTTTTTTAAACAAAATTCATCCTTTCACATTTTCAATCTTTTTCTGGAAAACTGGCAAAGGAAAAATTGTGAAATTTTCCCAAAAGAAAAAGGAGAGTGAGGAGCTCATTATAGGAAAATTTCAAAGTTTTTCAGTGAAAAATCACTCCAGGAAAAATTCTGAAAAATTGATTTTTCAAGTAAAATTAAGGAAAATTCACCCTTTTACATTTTAAGTTTCTCTAGAAAACTGGCAAAGGGAAAATTTTGACAACTTTCCAGGAATAAGAGGAAAATGAGGAGCTCATTTTACGAAAATTTCAAAATTTTCCAGTGAAAAATCACTTCAGGAAAAATTTTGAAAAACTAAATTTTTTAGTGAAATTAAGGAGAATTCACCTCTTACATTTTAATTTTTTTCTAGAAATCTGGCAAAATTGTGAAATTTTTCCAGAAGAAAGAGAAAAGTGAGGAGCTAATTATAGGAAAATTTCAAAATTTTCCAGTGGAAAATCACTCCAGGAAAAATTCTGGAAAATTGACTTTTTTAAGCAAAATTATTCATCCTTTCACATTTAAATTTTTTTTCTGGAAAACCGGCAAAGCAAAAATTGTGAAATTTTTTCAAAAGAAAAAGGAGAGTGAGGAGCTCATTATAGGAAAATTTCAAAGTTTTCCAGTGAAAAATCACTTCAGGAAAAATTCTGGAAAATTGAGTTATTTAAGCAAAATTAAGGAAAATTCACCCTTTCACATTTAAATTTTTTTTTGAAAAATTTTCAAAGGGAAAATTTTGAAAATTTTTCAGGAAAAAGAGAAAAGTGAGGAGCTCATTATAGGGAAATTTCGAAATTTTCCAGTGAAAAATCACTCCAGGAAAAATTGACTTATTTAGGCAAAATTTACCCTCTTACATTTTATTTTTTTTCTGGAAAATTGGCAACGGGAAAATTTTGAAATTTTTACAGGAGAAAGAGGAAAGTGAGGAGCTCATTAGAGGAAAATTTCAAAATTTTCCAGTGAAAAATCACTCCAGGAGAAATTTATTTATGTATTCTCGGATAACTGAATAAACTCTATTCTAAGCTAAAAAATGTATTACAAAACAATAATTCCGAAGGTACTCTATGAATTAATCTATGACTTAACTTTTTCTCTAAGTTATGACGTCATCGATGACGTTAGTAAAAACCTTCGTGCCGTGCAACGAACTATATGTTTTTTTCTGAAATTTCAGACATAAAAAAACCTGTGGAGAGACATATTTTTTCTATTACAGGCTCTTGAATTGTGTACATTCTGAGAAATTTAAAGAAAAATTCAAGAACCTAGAACAAGGAAAATTTGAGAGAAAACTTAGGTGATGGAAAGAGGAAACTTAAGAAAAAATGAGTAGACAAGTGGGTGGGCATGTTTTTTCTATTCCAGGCTCTTGAATTTTGTTCACTACTCTGAGAAATTTGAAGAAATCTCAAGAGCCTGGAATAAAGAAAAAATTGAGAAATAAAACTCAAGCCATGGAAAAAAGAAACTTAAGAACAAATGACTGGACAAGTTGGTAGACATATATTTTGCACTTTTCACGTTTGGCTCGTAAATTGAATTGGCGTAGACGTGAAAACACGAGTTTTAAGTCCTCGATAATGTTCCTCAAAAGTCCAGGAAAGCACACAGATATGCTAGCACTAATACGTTAGAGTCCACGTCAAAATTGATCGATCAAGCGCTGAAAAGTTCCAGGTGCATTTTTCAGTCCAAACGGCATCCTGTTAAAATGAAAGGATTAGTAAAGGCTGTTTTATCACGATTAGTTTCATAAACACTTATCTGGAGATATACGCAAATTCAAACACGTCATGTGGAAAATTCTTTCAGTCGAGTGAAGAAAATCATCCAATTTGAAGAAAACTCAAGAGCCAGTAATAAGGAAAAAAAAAAAACTTCAGCCATTGAACGAGGAAACTTGACGACAGATGACCAGACATTTTTCTATAACAGGCTCTTGAATTTTGTTCAGTCTTACAAATATGAAGAAAATTCAAGAGCCAGATACGAGTTCTAAACAATCTCTCATCAATGAACAAGAAGAGGAGGTTGTGCCTGAATTATGTAGTGGCAAATTTAAGTAATGATTGCTGATCCTTCCACCAAAACCTTTAAATAGAATGAAGTTTTTGAAGTGCGAGGATATTGTTGAAATCATTCCATAATTCTTGTATTGTAATATTATGTCAGTAAATAGTTGACATTATAAGATACTTATTAGATCCTTTTATTTATTCTAGGTTCCGATCCGTCCTTCGCCATCACCACTGCCCCAGCTCCAAATCAGAAGAGACCTCCTAGCAAAGCCCAGCACAATCACAAGCAAAACCCTCGAGCCCACCTTCCTGGGCAGCTTCAGAAAACGCACCTTCGACCAAGACCGTCCCGGATGCTCCGCAACCTTCATGAATTCCCCAATGGCCTCACCAAGGCCCCGCACACCTTCCTACGCCCACTCGAGACCTCTGAGTCCTCCGATGACTTTGCGGATGAACATCATGAATCATCCGCCTTACGCTCAAAGCTTGAGCATGCCTGCAGGAGTTTTGAAGCCACCTGATGGTTTTCAGGGTAACGGGCAAGTGTCACCGAATAGTACTCCGAGTGATTTGAGCATGAAAAAGGTGGATAATGTTCCGGTGCAAAGGGCTCCGCCTAAGAAGACTGGATTTACTATAGCGGATATTATGGGACGATAAGTTTGATGTAATTTGAGTGGTTTAAGCATATTCAGAGTAATTTGATTGAGCACGATGCTTCAGTTCAACTTTGGATTAAGGAGTATTGTATATTTGCATCAATGACAATATTATAATGTAAATCAAATATAAGTAAATTTGTAAATACCAATAATAATTATTCCCAGTGCATTTGCTGAAAGACTTTAAAAAAAATTATCGATTAATTTTGAATTATTATTATGTTCCTCTTATGTTTTATGTTTGTAAATTATTTTTTTATTAAAGGGACCTCTGCTCGCAATGATTTTTTGTATAAAACTTTTACTTTTAGATATTAATTTAATAGCGCGTACCTACACATTCCAATAGACAAATTTCTCTTGGCATTGGGTACTTAATATGCTTTAATTTATGTTCTGCAATACGTTAAAATGCTATATACTTAAGTCGTTTACATAAATTATATTTTTAGTTGTTTGTACCCCCAGTGTGTGTGTAATGGTTTGGATATAAATGCCTGGACATTTTCAATTTCCATATGCTGATGTGGTGAATTTTTGTTTAGGTTTATATATGGTTAGTTTATGTTAGTTTTATAGGAAAAAAAGCACATTTTATTTTCAAAAGATCTCTGTTCAATTTTTGGGTTAATTATTATTAGTTTGTGATTTTCTTTTGGAATAAATAAAATTATTTAAATGTGTTTTAGTTTATTTGTAACCTTATTAGTCATACGCATTGAGATCATTATTTACCAGAAAAAGTCCGGATATATAGGGTGTCACTACACTTCAGAACCTTCAATTTTGTGATCTCATACAATGGCCTTTCTCATGTTAAACGACCTTAACTTCCTTCAGTTATGCACATTTTTCAAATAAATTCAATAAAATCTACTTTCTATGATTGTATGTAATAATAACGAAGCATATTATTATTGAATTATGATACAGCTCATTATTTCTTGAACCGTGTTAAATGATGATGCAAATATATTTCTCTCAAAATTAAGAATACCCAAGGGGTGGTTAACTGCTTAAAATATATACACAGGTTTTAAATCTTCATTGATTTTGTAGGATTTTGAGGATTTTGGAAATCTTCATTTTTACAGGATTTTAAAAGATTTTAGGTGATTTTGGAAGTTAGGAGGGTTTTTACTAGAGATCGTAAAAGATTTTTAGAGATTTTAACGGATTTTTGGGCATCCCAAAGGATTTTTGGAAATATTAAAGGAATTTTATAGGATTTTGCCGGATTTTATTTGTTCTAATTAAATTTTGTTAGATTTTTAAAGATTTTCTGGGATTTTGACCAACTTTGATACAAATTTTCATCAATTAACCGCTTGAAGTTTAGTTAACTCCATAAAATGTGTACCTACATAAGTGAATCTTTAGGCATTGATTTTGTAGGATTCTGAAAAACTTCACGTGATTTTAAAAGATTTTAGATTTATGAGATTTTAGGTAATTTTGGATCATTTTAGGGAATTTAGGAAGGGTTTTTATGGTATTTTTACCAACTAATCCAGGGGAGCCTTAACGCTAAGTATTCCATGGAAATTCTACGAAAATTTTTGTTAATTCCATAGAAATTCCTTAGAATTTTACTAGATAATTTTATAAAAATCCTCGAAATTCCATTCAAATGATAAACTTGAATAGAAAAACAGAAAGTCCTAGAAATTTTATCATATAAGATTTCATAATACTTTTCCGAATTTCACCATAAGATTCCATGGAATTCCACAATAAAATTCAATGGAATTCTTGTACAAAAATTTCTCGGAATTACAGTAAAAGATTTCATGAAATTTTTCGGAATTCCACTAAAAGTTTATGTAATTCGACAGAAATTACTCAGAATTACAGTAAAATTTAATTCAATTTTTCGAAATTCCGCCGAAATCTTTTGTGGTTCCATGGAAATTCTGTTTAATTCCAAAGGAATTTTTCGGATTCGATGTAATTTCACTGGAATTCCACAATAAGATTTCAAGGAATTCTATATATGTAATTCGACGAGAATTCCTTGGAATTTTACTCGACTTTCATCGAAATTTTATGTTAGTCGACACAAAGTGAAATTGTAAATAATTTGATGGGAATTCTGCGAATATTTCATTTTTGTTTTTTTTTTCGAAATACAACTGAAATTCTCCAAAATTCTATAAAAATTCCAAATCCATAATTTTTTTAAAACTTTACTCAAATTCCCTAAAACTTCACCACTGAAATATCTTGGAATTCCACAAAATTTTTCGGAATTTCACTGGAATTCCTTATGAAACGATGAGAGTTGTTCAAAATTCCACTTAAATATCATGTAATTCCCTGACAATTCCTTGGAATTCCATGCAATTGCATCGGAGCTCCATATAATTCGACGAATATTCTTCGTAATTCATGTAAATTTTTGAAACTTTTTCCAAATTCTCTATGTAATTTAACAAGCACTGAAATTTCATGTTGGGAATTTCGGTGTAATTCCATGTAATTTTTTAGAATTCCTCCATACGATGCAACTCATTCAGGATTTCATGTACCTAATTTCTCTAAAAAAAGAAAGATTTCTGAAAGATTTCGAAGGGATTTCGGAGTGATTTATTGAATTTCAGAAAGATTTCGGGGATTTTGGACAAATTTGTGACACGATTTCGGGGAGTGATTAACCCCTCAAAGATTTCATGAAATTCTTCGGAATTCCACCAAAATTTCAAGTTATTCCATGGGAATTCCGCGAAAATTTTAAGTAAATCCATAGAATTTCCTTAATATTTCACCAGAAGATTTTATGGAATTCTTAGACAAATTTTTTTCGGAATTACAGTAAGTATATAGGATTTCATGAAATTCCTCGAAATTCCACTGAGATTTCAATTTCAAAATTCCATAAAAGAATTTTTTTTTAACTTTACTGAAATTCCTCAAAATATTACCACTGAAATATTCTGGAATTCCAAAAAATTTTCATAAAATCCTTCGGAATTTCATTGACATTTCATGTAATTTCTTAAAAATTCCTCGGAATTCACTAAAATTTTATGAGAATATTTTGAAATTCCACTTTCATAGCCGAAATTTTCTCGAAAGTCCAATGAAACTTCAAGGAATTTTTCAAAATTTAATTTATTTTCATAAGAATTTTACGGAATTTCATTGAAATTCTCTTTTAATAGCCAGGAATTTCTGGGAATATTAATGAAACTTTAAGTAATTTCTTGAAAATTCACTGAAATATATTGAAATTTCATGTCATTACATGGGAAATTTTTAGAATATCACCGAAATTCCATGTTTTTAGCCGGAAATTCCTCGGCATTCCACTTGTGGGATTTTCTGGAATTCTACTAAAATTAAGTTGTCATTTTGAGAATTTCGGTGTAATTTCATATAATTGTTTAGAATTCCTCCATGTAATTAATTTAGGATTCCGTGTAATTAGAGAGGAATTAAAATTTAATGTGAATTCTATAGAAACTCCGCAAAAATTTCACATGTAATTTCTTTTTCAGAATAACATAATTATTCTACTGAAATTCCTCGAAATTCAAGTAAATTATGGAATTCTGAGAGACTTTAACAGATTTTTGGGGATTCTAAAGGATATTTGGCAATTTCAAAGGAAATATTTTCGGAATGTTAATGATTTATGAGATTTTGCAGGATTTTTTTGATTTCAATGAAATTTTGTTAGATTTTGTAGGATTTTATGCAATTTCGAAAGATTTTGTGGGATTTTATTAAATTTTTAAGGATTTCAAATTTTTTTAGGGATTTTGAGTAGATCTTATGAGATTTTCTGGGATTTCGACTAACTTGTACACGGATTTTGACCAGTTAACCACCCCTCGAAAATACCTAATGAATTTTCCAAAACTTTCATATAAACTACAGAAAGTTTGTTTAATGCCCGTATTACATCTGTGTATTTTTCCGTGTATTTATACATGTAGTTCAGGGTGACAACCGAAAAACTTCAAACGCAACATAAATCATTAATATGAAAAACAAAATAATGTTGGCACCCTGAACTACATGAATAAATACACGGAAAAATACGCAGATGTAATACGGGCATTAGAAACATTTATACCTATTTGAAGCTGAAAGTAGTAAAATTTGAGATTAAATTTGCCCCATTTGAAGGTCGGCAAGCAATCAGTTGCGTCAACAAAATAAAATTGATGTTACAAGGCCCTTATTTCTACTACATTAAAAGGAAGATCTTATGAAAAACCTATCAGAGATGAACGACAAATAACTATAAATTGAAGAAAATATTTTAAGGGAAAGTTTATGAAGCTATAAGTTTTTGGAAATGGATTTTGTCTTTTGCTGTGAAATCAGTATAAACCTTGAAGTTTCCGAGTATTCTGAGTGACTTTTACTTCATCCTGTACTGTAATCAATGTATTTTTATTTCCTCCCCATAAAAGCCGTAAAAGTGTCGTTGATGAAAGCCAATCGGGTTTCTAATAAGTAGGAATGTTCCTGTTGCCAATCCGCAGAAGTTATGGCTTGTTTACCGAACGCGTTGGACTTCAATTCAGAAACTTTATTAGCTATATGCTACATAATAAGGATTTTAGGAAAACACTTCTTATGAGATTAGAACAAGCTCTACATCAGAGATGTTAAGGCAATTTTTGCAAAATTTCAACTTAATTATACAAAATCTTCATGCATTAGGAGACATTTGAATTTTTATCTTAAAATCCGATAATGATTAAAATTTGAAACATTTGGAATTTATAAAAGAACTTAAGACTTTACATAAATATCACAGATGTGTTTACTGGTATTCGAACTTGACAAAAAAAACTCCCTGCTCGAAAAAAAACTTGCTGGAAGCTATAAACGAGCTCTCCCACTGGACTCTGAAAATGAAAGTTAACTGCGTTAAACCAAAGTATGATTAGTTCAATCAGAACTCTGGAACTGGAAATAGCCACGTATCTCTCTGAGCTTGAGGAACATAAATTATCATTAAAGACCACACACACACAAAACATTTGGGGCTCCGAAAATTCCATTAATAAAGGGCATTCAATCAAGAAGGCGACTGTTCAGGCCTTATTGGAAATTGTTTACAAAACAAACCTAATACTTATTGATCCATCCTTACATACCAACAGACCAGTCCTAAAATCAAATTATCCCCGACCACAATCAGGTTATTTCTAACATTATCGACGACAGTGGCGCCAATGTTCTGTTTCTGCCTCTATTATTGGTCAGTCATGATGGGAACTATAATGAACTGGGCATTCAACGTGAGGGCGTAATACTGAGTACTAATGGCTACACTGGGGCACCTTCATTTCTCAGGTATCTCTACATCTCAAACGAACCTTTACGAGAATGTTGGGGTTCAGCTGGATCACAACGGCAGTAAAATTATTGTTGGCTGTGTCTACTTTTCTCCCAACTCTACGGTCGATTGCTATCAGTCTTTCTGTGACACCTGTGAAACTTAAGAACACTTATTCTAAACATAGATTTCTTATATTTGGTGATTTTGACCTGCCATCAATTGAGTGGATATTTGAAGACGACACAATCAATAGTGCCTAAAGAACTACCATCAGCTTCTGCCGAGGTGCTCATGGATACCATGTACTTTCTTGAACTGCAACAGATGAATATCGTTCAGAATCATCTGGATAGAACTCTGGACCTAATTTTTGTCGACGA